GGTCAGCTCCTGGTCTAGTTTTTACTGACTGTATAGAGCTTCTCCATCTTTGGCTGCAGAGCACATTGTCAATCTGATTTCTGTGTTGACCGTCTGGTGATGTCCATGTGTAGAGTCATCTCTTGGGTTGTTGGAAAAGAGTATTTGCTATGACCATCGTATTCTCTTGACAAAATTCTACCAGCCTGTGCCCTGCTTCATTTTGTACTCCAAGGCCAAACTTGCCTGTTATTCCGGTTATCTTTTGGCTTCCTACTTTAGCATTCCAATCCCCAAGGATGATAAGGACATCATTTTTTGGAGTTAATTCTAGAGGGTGGTGTAGGCCTTCATAGACCTGCTCAACTTCAGCCTCTTCGGCACCAGTGTTGGGGCATAGACTTGGACTACTGTGATGTTGAACGGTTTGCCTTGGATTCGAACTGAGATCATTCTGTCATTTTGGAGATTGTATCCCAGTACTGCATTTCTTACTCTTTTATTGACTATGAAGGCTACTCCATTTCTTCTAAGGGAATCTTGCCCGCAGTAGTGTACCTGTTGGTCATCTGAATTAAATTCACCCATTCCTGTCCATTTTAGTTCACTGATTCCTAAGATGTCGATGTTCAGTCTTGTCATCTCTTGTTTGACCACATCCAGCTTGCCTTGATTCATGGATCTTACATTCCAGGTTCCTACGGTGTATAGATCTTTACAGCATTAGACTTTCCTTTCACCACCAGATACATCAGCAACTGAGTGTCCTTTCGGCTTTGACCCAGTCGCTTCATTCTTTCTGGCACTATTAGTACTAGCCCTCCGCTCTTCCTCAGTAGCATAGTGGACACCTTCCAACCTGAGGGGCTCATCTTCTGGCGTCATATCTTTTTGCCTTTTGGTACTGTCCATGGGGTTTTCATGGCAAAGATACTGGAGTGGGTTGCCATTTCCTTCTCCAGTGGATCACGTTTTGTCAGAGCTCTCTGCTATGACCTGTCCGTCTTGGGTGGCCCTGCACGGCATAGCTCATAGCTTCATTGAGCTACGCAAGCCCCTTCACCATGACAAGGCAGTGATCCATGAAGGAGAAATACTTATTACTGGTGGATAAATATGATACATGGGTTTTAAGCAGCAATGGAAGAAGAAATTGGATTGTCTCATTATGGCTGATCAGTGAATCACCACGAGGTGAAATACCTGACATCTATGTATCTTAGGCTGGGTCTTATTCAGCAAGATCATTTGTTTCAAATGTGTTGGATAATATGTTTTTCACATGGGATTGTCTAATCTGTCTAATTGCTAGCAGTGCGATGAAGCTAATGCTTCTTTTGGACACACATTTTGGCAATATTCTGCAAGTGCTTCATTTCAGAAGGTTATTTTATGCACAAGTTTTCTACAGGAACAAACTTTAATATCCACTGATATTACACCTTTTTAAATATCCACGCTTTTAAATTATATACCTGCACCATGGAAATTAACAGTAGGTCAGTGTAAACGGATTCCTTATGCCTTAAAGATGGCTTAAAGATTGATATTACAACATTGGAAAGATAAACTCTCATCTCCTACAATGAATTGCAATGCAATGAATTACGGATTATAAGGCTTCTGACATCTGAATGGGTGGCATGTAGATTTGCATATCTGGTTCACTTTTGTTGAAGCCTATGTGTAATTGCCAGTAAACTCTATTTTCATATACAAGTATTTCATGTGTATTCATTGCTATGCATATATCCAAATCTATGTATGGATGTTAAAAAAATTATAAAGAAAAAGAAAAAAGTTTCTTTCCGGTGAGTTTCTATAATCAGAACTTTTTTTTTTTTCCCGCTTCCATTGCCTCCTCACAATGCCGTCCGGCGGAGCTTTTTCGAGTGGTACAAGGCCTGGTTCACCCGGGTCCTAAGGAAGATCCGATGTCACCCTCAAAGGCCCACTGTGACGACTTTGCCAGGCATTTCAGGGAGAAAATCGCTCAGATTCGTCACAAGCTGGACTCCACTAATGAATCAGAGGTCTCTGGGGAGATGCCAATGCCACCGTCTGGTCCAAAATTGTTGGAGGAATTTCAATTATTGCGGCCCGATGATGTGGACAAAGTACTTGGACGAGTACGTCCCACCACTTGCCTATTGGATCCTTGCCCGTCTTCGTTAATAAATAACTCCAAGCACGGGATTGGGACCTGGATCTTGGAAGTGGTTAACGCTTCTCTGAGGGAGGGTCGAGTGCCTGCCCCTTTAAAGGAGGCGGTAATACGACCGGTCCCGAAGACAGCGTCACTGGATCCAGAGATGGCCACTAACTATAGACCTGTGGCCAACATCCCGTTTCTGGGCAAGGTGTTGGAGCGAGTGGTGGCTGGACAACTCCAAGCACTCTTGGATGAAACTGATTATCTGGATCCTTTTCAGTCCGGCTTCAGACCCGGGTACAGTACTGAATCTGCCTTGGTCGCCCTGTACGATGACCTGTGCAGGGAGAAGGACAGGGGAAGTGCATCCCTATTGGTTCTTCTGGACCTCTCGGCGGCTTTTGATACCATCGGCCATGGTATCCTTCTGGATAGGCTAGTGGGATTGGGGGTCGGAGGCACTGCTTTGCAGTGGTTCCACTCCTATCTCAACGGTCGATTCCAGAAGGTAGTGCTGGGGGACTATGGCTCTGCGCCATGGCAGCTATGCCATGGAGTACCACAGGGCTCCATTCTATCCCCTCTGCTATTTAACATCTATATGAAAGCGCTGGGAGAGGTCATCAGGAGGTGTGGGCTGCGGAATCATCAATACGCTGATGATACCCAGCTCTACCTCTCGTTTTCCACTAATCCAGGTGAGACAGTGGCTGTGCTGAACTGGTGCTTGGCCGAGGTAATGGAATGGATGAGGGCCAATAAACAGAAACTCAACCCAGACAAGACAGAGGTCCTGTTGGTTGGTGGATCAGGCTTCGGAGAGGGTGGATTTGACCTGGTCCTGAATGGTGCAACACTCCCTCTTAGGGACAAGGTCCGCAGCTTAGGAGTACTCCTCGACCCGGAGCTTTCTTTGGAAGCTCAGGTGACAGCGGTGGCGAGGAACGCCTTCCTTCAGCTTCGGCTGATTAATCAGCTGCGCCCCTACCTGGAATACGACTGCCTGGCGACGGTGACACACGCGCTGGTGACTTCCCGCCTAGACTTCTGTAACGCGCTTTACGTGGGGCTTCCCCTGAAGACGGTCCGAACACTTCAATTGGTGCAAAATAGAGCTGCCAGGTTGCTGACGGGGACGGGGCGTTATGCTCACATGACTCCAGTCCTCCGTCAGCTTCACTGGCTTCCCATTGAAGCCCGGGCCCAATTCAAGGTGTTGGTTATGACCTATAAAGCCCTAAACGGCTTGGGTCCTGGCTACCTGAACGAGTGCTTACGTCCGTATTTGCCCGACCACCCCTTGAGATCTGCGGGAGAGTCCCTTCTCCGGGAACCCCCCATGAAAGAAATTAGGAGAGTAAGTACTCGGAGGAGGGCTTTCTCTGCGGTGGCGCCCAACCTATGGAATTCACTCCCCAAAGAGGTCCGCCTGGCACCGTCATTACTGGTTTTTCGGCGCCAGGTAAAGACCTTTTTATTTAAACATCATTTTAATTGTTAAAATATATGATCTGGCCAGGGCAACGTCTTCTTCCTTCTCTTTTCTCCTCCTGTATTCTTTATTTACTTATTTTATACTGTTAATTTTAATTGTATATTATTATGTTTGTATCTCAGTGTATTTTTGTATTTAGTGGTAATTTATTATGTTCTATCGTATTTCAATGTATTTTATTGTGTTGTAAGCTGCCCCGAGGCTTCGGCAAGGGGGGCATAGAAATGTAATAATAATAATAATATTAATAATAATAATAACACACCACCCCTCCTTTGACATATCCATATTTTGGTTTGTTACAATCTAACTGAAATGGACTTAAGCAGCATTACCACCACTTAATGTAGTCGGTCATAACATGTTAATTCATCATGGAGGTGAGCTGATAAAATTAACTAGTTCATGAAAGCTTTTGCCAAAATAAATGTTTTAATCTTTGATAACTGTGTTCTTTTATTTACAATAAAACTGAGTACCTTGCATTCTACACCAAATTAAGACATGCAGAAACAAAATCTTGCTTGTTCTACAAAAAGTCCTTTCTTTACCTGTGTTTTGAGTTCTCCCAGATAAGCTCGGAATAGTTTTTCAGAGTTGTCAAGCATATCACTAGGTTGGACTTCTCCCAGGACTCCCAGAAGCTCATAAATCCTTTCCAACACTTAAAAAAAAGCATACTAATCAAATTATTACATATTATTTTATATCAGTTACACTAATTATATTTACCCTGGACAGGGAAGGTTTTAACCCCTGACCCAACAATACAACAAAAACCACATGTTCCCATCAGGACTCACCAACACTGATCTAACCTATAGAGGAAATCACAAGAAGGCTACTATTTAAGCAATCAACCAGCCTAAGGCCTTTACAATCAGGGGAAGAGACTGAAAATGCAAATGTGCGTTCATTTCTTCTTATAACTTATCCTAATCATATATAAGCTGAGTTCAAAAATTGCAGTAGTGCTAAAAGAAAATATTTCATTCTTGCTGTATTTTCAGCAACAAGTTCCCAAACATCCCAGCAAATCAAAACAAAAACAATACAATTAGGAAAGTTCTCACCCTACCCTCAAGACAGGAGAATGTGTTCAATGAGAGTTACTTCCAAATCAGTGTACTTATGACTGCAGCCCAGTAACCACTAACTGTACTCCTTAATAAGTTGAAGTACAGCTCCATTTCCTTATTTAACTTGCTAAAATAAGTAAAAATGTTAACAGGAAAATGAAACCTTACCTGTATCAGGCACTTTACTTTTCATACCAAGTTCACCATAAAATTTATTAAAGATTTCTGCAACTTTCAGATCTTCCATCAAATAAGAAGATCGCAAGTTTTTAAGTAGCTAGAAAAATGTTCAAAATAACCACATATCAGGACAATAAATAACCCTTTAAGGAGTGCTATAAGATCACTAAGCAAAACATCTTATTTCCTTGCTGGTTAACTATCAGCTTTATAAAGATGTCCTATTGGCTTTTGGATGAACTTAAAAATAAATTTCTATATTAATTCTATGTATTCATCTCCTATAGTTTAAGTGTATAGTTATACTTGTAGTTATTTAATTTTAAAACACTTTTAAAGTTAAATAAACCTCAAAACATTTTCATTGAAAGCTTTAGAGACCACTGCATATAAAAAGCATAACTTAATCCTCTCAGAAGTATCTAAAATATCAACTTTACCTTAATCAGTAGCTCTAGTGCTGGGATTCTGCATTTTGCTGATTTGTCTTTTGTGTAAGCACTAAAACACATTCGCTAAATTTTTGAAAGACAAAAGAAAACACAGGTAATGCAGTGCCTTTGAAGTTCATATCTTGCTGTATCTTTAACTTTTCCTCACTATCTTATAGTACTTTAAAAACTAGACAATTCCTCATGTAAAGCCAGTCTGGTTAGTTCTTCTTCCATCAGTTATTCTTAGAAAAGGCCAGACTAATGAAAAATCTTCCTAAACACCTTGATTCTACCTTCTGTGAGAAGGGAATATTCTGAGAGAAGAAGGGGAGGCTTTGGTTCCTATGCCTTATTTTGGGGAATCCCCCTCCCACACACACCACAGCTCACTCTTGAGGGCTTCCTTAATCTCTGTGTAGCTTGTTCAGAAAGCTGGAGAGGCTGATGTGAGAAGGAAAGAAGAAGAAAATCCACTTCCACCATCATAGCTGATCCAGCGCAAATCTGGATCCAGTCCCTTGAATGCAAATCATGCACTGCCATAGCCCTTGAAAAAGATTTCTGGTCTGAAACAATAGAGCTGCTGACAGATAGGGCTGACAGTTCTGGGCCAGTCTGTCCCAGGTTCTTAAATCTGTTAACTCTGAATATTTAAGTTAAGAAGAGAGCAAAGAGCACAAGTAGCTCTTCCTCACTATTCTTGTAGAACACTATCCAAAATACAAATGCCTGAACATGTGAAACTTCTCTTTCATAGAGAATGACTGAATCCCACAGACTGATATGAAAAGTTGTACTGTGGAATTATGGTGTTGGAGATGAATAGAAAAGGTTCTTATGCAATGATGTAATTGGAAACAATTGCTCTTTTTTAAATTTTACTTTCACCATACTACTTTATTTGGCTAAAATTTCTAGTTTTATGTAAAATATGAAGTAATTTTCCTTGACTCACCTTTACATCTTGTACATAAGGATGAACTTTTGGGCCAATCTTTTCCAGAAAAATCAGAAGAAATTTTAGTGCTTCTTCTCTACATTCTCGAAACTGTAAAGAGAAAATTTCCAGCAAGCATAAAGCCAGACAATATGAAATATGCAATTAATAAGGCTTCAAACCAATTTTTCAAAGTAAATATATGGCATTTACTTAACAAATAATGTTTAGTAATCCACCTATAACTATTTTGGTCTTTTGTGGCATGTAGACAATTTGAAAGAAAAAAGGCCAACAATTTTCCAACTTAAACCCCTGTCCCCCAAGTTTCTCTTGAAGACAAGATTATTTACAAGCATGCTTCCAGCTATGATTATCAACTTACTTCTTCAAAAGCCAATGATTCATGGATAAATACGAGTAGCCCATCTTCCTTAGAAAACACCAGTGAAGTCTGTAAAGCTGTGGGAAGACCAAGTAAGGGTTCAAACTGTATGCACAAAATGAAATAATCTTCTTCCAAACCTATGGTTCTTATATACATAGGATTAGCCCTAAGGAATAAATGGAGTTGAGCTTCTTGATCCTCTCTACCCACCCTGCCAGTCAGTGAGAGAACAGAATCCAAGCTATACTATGGATGGGGAACCTTAGGCTCATGAGTTGTGGCCTCCCCATTTACCCACAAAAGCCTCTAGACTAATGAGGCGCCAACCACATTCTGAAGCCCTCTCTTCCTGATGCACCAGGAAGCCACTGCTTCAAGGCCTTCCCAGTGCTTTGAAGCAGCTTTTCCTCAGGGCTTCACTCAACAATCCCTGTTCTTATTGGAAAAATCAATTCACCAGTGAGCCATGGCTCCAAGGCAATTCCAATGCCTTAAGTTGGGATGGTCCAACACATGGCCCATAGGCAGCCTGCAGCCCCCAAGCCCCCCACCACCACTTGAAGCCCTCAGTCTAGGTTCCACCAATGGCACAGGCATGATTGCATGAGGTTCAGGAAGAAAGCAGGTCAAGCTGGCAGCCTTGCAAGAGCTTGATGGGGAGAGTTTTTCCACTCAGTTCAGGTGCAAAAGGCTCAGTGCACCAATTCAAAGGAAGAAGGGGCCAAGAGGGACACATGGGATAGTTTCTGGGTGGGAAAAACGGGGAAGAAAGGGATGGACCACCCAAGAGGAGAAGTCATTGTGCTTGGGGAGTGGTCAGAGAAAGAGCTGCCTGCATTCTTTTTCATTCAATGTAATTCACTGTGCAATTCTCAGATTCCATGTCAAAGTTCTCATGTTGCCCTCAGGGTATGAACCAGGGTATATGCCTTAGGTGAATAACACCAGCACAGTTTGAGAGAGAATGAAAAATGTAGGAGCATATGGGTAGGGAGGTGCATGCCAGCACAGATCAATCCACTTTGGGCTGTGACCTTGGCCCTGCTGGCATGCAGTCCCTGACATACTTGCCCAAGTCCAAGTTAGCCCTCAAACCTCCAAGATTCCCACCCCTGCTTCAAGTATATAGGCTTCATTCAGAGCTACTTTTAATTGTGTGGAAATCAAGACAAGAGGCATCATGCTCCCTCATTACTTGAAAACACCACTGTCATATGAACAAAGCTATTAAAGTATCATTCAAGCTATCAATTGATTAATGACAAAATTGCCAATTACAATTAGCTTAAGATCTTCATTCACATCACTAAGTTACAGAATTGAGTAAAACATAACCTCAACTAAGTAAACTACCTAGAAGAATGTGAAAGTCATCTGTAAAAGGTTTATTGCATTTACAGCACTCATCACAGCTGATGAGCTGTGATTTCTTACTAAAATCCTTAAGACAGTCACTTCCTTGCAGAAAAGCAATAAGCATTAAAAAAAATCTTCCTCAAACCTTATTCACATATTGTCATTGGTGAAATACCAATTGCAAAGAATTGGCAGCATCCAGCATCCTCATCTTCAGGGATATTCCAGGGTATTATTTATTTGTATGTTTCTGCAGATGGGACACTGCTAAAACCTCTATATGTCAGCACATTTCTCACTGCAAGTTATTGAAATATTGCAAACTATTCTTTCAACAGATGTTCTCACCTTAGAGTGATTAACACTTTAAGGATATCTACTGTCAAGGAAGTGACAATGCATTTATTGTTTGCTTTCTTATGTTCACATAAATTGTAATAACTATTATCTACAGGAAAACTTCACAGCTCTGTTACAACATTCATACATTGTCATTTATGATAGCTTATAGGCATGTTTATGGTTCATAACCCTTCCAGAGTTGAACATTTGTCTAAACCACATTTCTGCTTAATAAGCACCCACAGTAGTTTACACAACAGAGATGTAAAGATGATTTAAAATTATGAAGTAACACTGATGCTGTTTGCATAACATGCTGAGCTTGGGTGCCGCCTGAATACTGAACTTGCGTTTGCAGGTTGTCTTCTCATGTGAACACAGTCAGCAGAGTTACACGAGGGTTCTACAATATTCAGGATTGTGAACAGCAGCAGCACAGCTTCTGAAAGTCATTCAGTGTATTTTATCTGTTTATGTTTGCTGCTGTTTGCATTCTGAGTGACAACTGTGTGGTATTCAATGTTGTAAGCCGCCCCGAGGCCTTGGCAAGGGGCGGCATAGAAATGTTTTAATAAATAAATAAAAATAAATAAATAAATAATGTTACCAAAGCAACCAAACACCAGGCTTTGTATATACAGGGAATAAGGCTGCAGCAGCTGTCTTCAGTTATAGATTTATAATGTCATAGTAAAGTACAATTTAGAAGGATCATGTGGGCAACAAATGGGTTTGTTAGTTAGAAGGTTCATAAAGAACATACTTGATCAGAAGTTCTGGCAAGAATTTTTTTTAAGTTAGTTGGAGGCTGACAACTGGAAATGCTGGTGGATTAAGAGAACGGGGTAGGGGAAAACGTGAACATAGAAGTTGGATGCTGAGAGAAGCAGAGACTTATACTCTAGGGTAAAGCTCCAAAAAAGCAGCAAAGCCCAAAACTGAAAGGTCCAAGGTCTGATCCGATGGAATTTCAGCAAACAGTCCTTGAAACGTAATTATCTTCAAAGCACCCTGGAAGTGTTGGAGGCAAAGGAAGACTGCTGTACAGACTTGTGAGAGATTGCCTGTGATGGAGTTTAGGGAACGGAGCTGAAGAAAAAGCTATTGAGAGCTTGGGAAGAATCATAGAACAGTAAAGTTGGAAGGGGCCACAAGGCCATTGGGCCCAACACACTGTTCAGTGCAGAGCTCCAAGTTAAACCATCCCTCTCAGATGGCTCAGAAACTCTTGTTATCCACAAGCATATTTAGGCTGCAATCCTATGGTCCCTATAAGAACATCCCAGAAGACACAAGATATTTGCATTTCCCATCAGATAGAGAGAAGGGATCATGCTCAAACAGGGAGGACCAACCTTGGATCCCGCCTCCCAGCAAGTGCAGATACAACTACAACTCTTGCTTCCTCAATGTTTCAACATTAGAGATGGAAGGGGGGAATCAGGCCCATTACATGAGTGAATACAGGGAGAACTCAGACCCTGACGAGCTCCCAGACACACAGGTAACAATGAGGAAAGAGCTGGAGTAAATAATTTCCTTCAAAATGCTTAGGAAAAAAAATGAATTGAGGGGGAGCCTCTTCTGCACTGCAAGAACGCTTGCATAGTTCAAAGGCTACAAAGTTGGAGCTATCTGCACCAAAACACAGAATTTCTGCATCCATCAATAATGGTTTGAAAAGCAACTGCTTATCCTTCATGTAAACACCTTCATGTAAAACCCTTATTAAACACCTTTTTCATTCTATGAGCTCCTTTATAGTATGCATATAGTGTCAATCTCATGCAGACACCATAGACAACAAGCTACTGAAACTTTGTAACAGGGATGCAAAACATAAATAGATGGGGGATGAATTTTGTCCTCCCACGTCTGCAAGTCCTGCGCATGATTTACCTAGAAATCAATCCTACTGAACTCAATGCAATTTATTTTGGAGTAAACATGCATCCGAATGTACATTACGTTTATAACTTAATGAAATCGTATTAGAAAGCAAGCCTCATCAGACGTGCAATGCAGCGGGCTGTTTATCCCAATGGCCAGTTCTACTTAAGATAGCAAGGCGCTCCATACGCCAACATGTACAGCCCATGTGAGCGAAGAAAACGCCTCCTGCGTTAAATTTAAGGCACAATTTTATCCACGTTTAAAAAAGAAAAATAGCTAGCTGGATCATGCTGGCAGTTGTAGGATTTTTCCCCCTTCTCTAATCATGCATAGTATTGTGCCTTTAAGAGTTGGGGCACCACGCTGCAATCCAAAACCCGAGATTATGTGAGCCACACGCCGAAACGCCTTGAAGCGCAATATTCCTGAGCCTGCGGGCAGCTGATCTCCCCGCCAAGATGTTACGCACCCAGGACTGCGTCTCCACTGCTAGTCACACACGTCTCCGCTAAGCAACGGATCAAAGTGTGGCCGTGAAGGGCTGCGCTGCCAGGGTCTGGGCTCCGCAGTATGCCGTGCAGTTGGAGCAGGCAGTTCCGCAGACCCCCGGCAGGTACTGTAACCGAGGTCGCCATGACGCGCCCTGCTCCTCTTCCGCGGCCACCCCTCCCGGCCCACACGCCACAAAAACGTCCTTAGAGCTCGCGCGCACGCGCTTGCTATATGGGCCGAACCAAGCAAAATGTTCACGGAAGAAACCAAGTCTAAAGTCGAGGAGTCACGCTATTGGCTTCAGCAAAGCCAATGAAGGAGGGCGCTGAGGTCGGATGAAACCATTGTAGCATAAAGGGTGGGCCGTGTTTTCGGGCTGCAAGCAGGGCGCCCTAAAGAAGGACTTTTGTACCGTACAGTCTCACTTCCTAAAAACATCAAGCTAGAGAAGCAATTTCTACAAGCTCGTCCTTACTGGAACAGCATGTTTGGTCACTTCCTCTGCCCCCATTCATAACAACAGTACCGTATAAGGTATTCCTTGTTGAATTGGCCGCAAAATTCTGACAATATGGGTGATGCCATTTTAGGACGGGGGGAGCTGAACATTGAAGAAAAGTGAAAGCAAGCCCCCATGTGCCTTTCATCAGCTTTAAGGGGCATCAATGGATCACGATGACAACACGTTTTTCCTTCCTCGCAAACTCCGCACGACGATGTCGACACAAACGTTTAAGGAATAGCACTGGCCATGCCCCTTCTTCCGTGAGAAATTGGTCTCTCCCACTTTACGAGTGATGGAAAAGCCCGCGAAACTGGGAGGTCACATGATTATTTTGGCGCAGAATTTTCTTGCTTTTGGTCTATCGGCCTTCTTTCGGGAAAAGTGTGTATAAAATAGCGGCTGGTGTAGCGAGGAGATTCGTTCGCTCCATTTAAAGGGCGCGCGGGCAGGGGTGAGGACCCTCCGCAGCTTTTCACGCCCGGACACCCCCTAGTAATTATCTTCTTGTTCCTTCTCTCCGTCCTTCGCTCTAGGATTCCTCCAGCCATGTCTTCGCCAGCGTCTACCCCGAGCCGTCGCGGCAGTAAACGCCACCGAGCCGGAGGCGGTCCAGGCAGCACGAATCCCCCTACGCGTAAGTTGCTGTCGCTGTTCCACCAGTTCATTTCTACAGGCTCCCTTGCCTAAATTACTATCTTATTTACAGGCAGGATGCTAGATTTGAGTTCCCTCGTTAGAGAGGCTATCTAGTCCAACCCCTTGTTGAGTGCAAGAGCCACCATGCAAGAAGAAGCAATAGTATCCCCAATGCTGCTAGGGAGAGTCTGCTTAAACTCTTCAGGCAGCTGAGCACAGCACTTCCTGATTGAGCATGTTCTTCTATTAAACGGCGCTTACAAGGAGTTTAGGGCTAATGCTTACTTTAAATGTTTCTCTGCAATTTTCCTTCTAGCCTTTTCTTTTCTAAGCCAGCTCTTTCAACCATTTCCCACAAAGCATGGCTTACAGCCCTGTCACTATCATGGTTATGCTTTTCTGCAGTTTGTCAGTTGCCTTCTTAAAATGTGGCATCCAGCAACTCTTAAATGCAGCATGATAGCCCGGAGCAGAGCTGTTTCTATTCATGATCTGGATATTATGCACTTGTCAATGTAATGCAGGAACCCATGCTGGATAAGACCGAGGAGCTATCTAGTGCAATATTATGTTCATACATTGGCCAGCTAGCTGCCCATAGGAAATTCACATGCAGAACAGGAATACAACAGGACCCTTCCATCTATGTTCCCCAGCAACTGGTGTACATGGGCATACCAACTTAGATAGTGGGTGTAGCATAGAGCCAGCAGGATTAGTAGAGTTGTCTTGTTGTCACTGCGTATCCCTGTTCAGGAAATAGAACAGAAAGATGTCGAATAGTTGTGAGGTTTATAGCTTTATATTTAGCTACCAGATGCTTAGTTTGAGAAGTAAAATGCAAGGCGTGAAGTAGCAATCAATTTTCATGACTTCTTCATATAGTGATTAGGAGTTGCAGTAATGTTGAAGAGTTTTCACTTATCCCTGCATCAACAGGCACAATTATTCTTTTGGGTTAAATCCTGCACTAAATGATTCTCAAGCTGGATAAATTGCATTAACTTATTGACAGGTTAATAACTGAAGATAAACTTAGCTTTGTGCAAGTACTTGTTACCTAAATGAAATGAGAATCCTGTACTATTACTGTCTGGTACTCAGTACAACTACTGTTCTTTTACACTATTCTTCTTGGTTCTTATTTAAAACTTCACATAGTAATTATATAAGGTCAATAACTAAAATTATGCCTTCTGGCTTACCAGTTTTTAATCAGAAAGTGAAACATTAGTATTAAGTAAAAAAAGATGGAGTCTTATCACTTATTTTAGAAAAATAAAGGTCTGCTTGCTTAAGTGAGAAGTAAGATAAATGAACAACAGTAGAGGTAAATTTGTTTGTTAACTTCTTCTTAACTATAGCTGCCTCTGAAGATGTTCAGTCCCCACCATCACAGCGACGTCACCCAGATGACTCCACATCTACTGGAGACTTACAACCAATGCCAACTTCTCCACCAAATGATACACAAAGCCCAAATGTTCAAGACACTCTGTTTTCCAGCCCACCACAGTTTCCACATTCAGGTACTTCTCATTTGGAGAGAAAATTACAATATCAAACTGCAAATGTTACATCAAACAGAAAAATAATAACATCAAACTGCTTATTTTTAATTGTTAGTTGATGAGATGTTTAAAGTAGGATTTTTTTTATTCCATTCACTTGGTGACCTTAAAAATAATAATACACACATATGTTACTCTTCATTTTGGGTGATGGAGGTAAAAAGGGAAGAAGAGAGTGCTTCAGCTGAGTCCAGGTTTCTGCCTTCCAACTCCAAAAAGTTCAGTGAATATACACCCTCCCAAATTATGCACAATGAATCTTGACCATTATGAAAACCAACAAAAACAAGGGAAAAACTGAACAAACACTTGAATTTTCCAGACACTAATTGACAAACTGAGTTAATACAGAATATAATACATCAGGTCTATCCAAAGTTACATGCTTTAAATTTCCATTAATTCCATTGGGGAAATCTTTAATCACATTCTTCACTGCAATCATCTGGTTAGACAAACAAAGATCTGGTTACATTGAGAACAACCTATCGTTCATGAGCCATAGGTTGTGGAAAATGAAACAGGATTGAGTTTGTGAGCAACATGGGATAAATTGGTAAGGTTCCATGGTGAGTGTTGTCTATCTGCTCTTAAGAAACTTAGCAAGCCTGAGTAAAAGAAAGTAGTAACATTTCTATTTTAAAATAATGATTCAAGTGTATTTGTAACAGTTCCACTGGACTTGGATATTAGTTCACCATTGACTTATGGCACTCCCAGTTCTCGAGTAGAAGGAACCCCAAGGAGTGGTGCACGAGGAACTCCAATTCGACAGAGGGCTGATCTTGGCTCTGTTCGCAAAGCTAGGCAGGTGGATCTGCATTCTGATACGGCAAGTATTCAAGATTTTACAGGTGACATAGGTTCAGGTACAACCCATCCTCATATTAATTTAAATGACATGTCATCCACTTAATTCAATGGATCTTACTCTCTAATAGCTGAGCATATGATTGTAGTCTTACATTTAATATTGTTTACTCTTGTACTTAGCCTCTAGGAGAGGATGCCATGGCAAGTGAACAGTCTCTTGGACAAAAACTTGTGATTTGGGGAACAGATGTCAATGTGGCATCATGCAAAGAAAGGTTTCAGGTGAGTGGATAATGGTTATGACATTTGGAACATTTGTTTATATTCATATATATTAGCAGTATTTATTTAGTTGCTTTTAAAAACATTTCTGTGTGAGACAGTAATATAAGTGGGAAAGAAAGAAATAGTGGTGGCTGTGGGAATCTTTTCTAATTTGTTTAATGTTTCTAAGTAGCCATAGTCAATCACAGTATGCTGCTGAGTTTATATAAAATCCATACCTAATAAAGGAATCAAAGGACATAAACATTAAAAATGTTTTGACCTACCTCTATTCTATTGGGTGAACGCAGATGCTAAAATTATGTTTTGTTTTCAAATATTTAGAGATTTCTTCAGCGTTTCATTGATCCAACAGCTAAAGAAGAAGAAAACATTGGCTTGGACCTTAATGAACCTCTTTATATGCAGAGACTAGAGGAGGTATGTTAAATTAGTATTGTTTAATTCTGCTTGCATTTTAAGATTTAAATGCTTATTGAATGGCTTAATGTCTTGCAGATAAACTTGGTTGGAGAACCATTTCTGAACGTAAACTGTGGCCACTTAAAATCATTTGATGAAAATCTTTACAAACAGCTGATGTGCTATCCCCAGGTACTACATTTTTAGTAGTTTTTACAACATAGGAACTAGAATATCAACCAGTGAGTCAGCCTTATCTGTACCTATTGCTTCAATTATTTCAGATAGGAATGAATGCCATGATAGGGTATTTATGTTCATGTGTAACATGAACAATAGCAAAGATACCATACAGAGTTATTAATTTGCTAATTCTAGTAAGTAATAATTCATCTTACAGTTCAGTCCTGTCAGTATTATTCAAAAGATGTCTCGCCCACAGACTTCAGTGAAGCTTACTTCTAGATACATGTGCATAGCAGTGCAGCCTTAATGTTAAAATACACTTGGCATGAAGCATTGGGAACTACTACTGAAAAACAACCTTGGAGTTTTGGGGCAGTTAGAATTAATCTCTTGGTTCTTTGGATTCAGAAACATCCTTAAAAGCAAAACAACTAGACACTGCACTGGCTGCCCAGACAGCATAATGCTAATGGGCAACTTTTATACAAATTTAATTATACACAAGAGACAAAAGGCAATGTCTTTGGATGAAAACTTACTCTTTTATTTAAAAAAAAAATATGAAAGCCAGTGGTTCTAAATAACCATCAACAGGATTATCAAGTGAGTTTTCATATCTGTTGTGCAAACCAGGTAGTAACACATATCTATGGTTTATATCCAATTTGTACAGGAAGTTATTCCAACATTTGATATGGCTGCTAATGAAATTTTCTTTGAGCATTACCCTGACTCAGTCTTAGAACATCAAATTCAAGTTAGACCATACAATGCATTAAAGACAAGAAATATGAGGAGCCTTAACCCAGAAGGTAAGCTGCTGGAACATGGTTTTTATATTATCAGGAAAAACTGCTAATTGTTAAACTGTGCAGTCCTACTATTGTAGCCATATTCTTTACACCAAACTGAATCCGAGTTCCACTTTTTCAATGAACTGAAACTTTATGCTGACAAATGTCTGTTTCAAAGGCAGAGCATAAAGTAGTGAATATATCTATAGTTTCCAAATGGGGGAAATCACTTCCTAATCTACCAGCAAGTGATTGATGCAGAAATACTTACTTTTTGCATAAAAATGTAATTTCACAATGGATATTACACAAGACTTGCGTATTTGTTCTTATGGGTCTTATGGCCTGATTTGATACATGTTTAGAGATACCATATGGCTATTTAATGTCAATGGGTGTCAACGATCTAGATAAGTACATATAAACCTAATTTGATTGATCTTTTGCTTTTTTTTTTTTTAACATCATAGATATTGACCAGCTTATCACTATAAATGGCATGGTAATCAGAACCTCCCAGTTAATTCCAGAAATGCAGGAAGCTTTCTTCAAGTGCCAAGTCTGTGCTTTCACAGCAAGAGTAGAAATTGATCGTGGCAGAATCGCTGAACCATCAGCATGCAAGAACTGTAACACCACACATAGTATGGCTTTGATTCACAATCGTTCTTTGTTCTCAGATAAACAGATGGTATGTTACTCTTTGGTTGAATAGCTCTGATCTGCTTAATTTTCAAGTTTATTGCTATTGTGTTCTGAAAGATCTAGAAAGCATATCAGTAGTTTTACAGTTCTTACTGCACAACTAGTGATTTACAAATCCCACCCCCACCAGCAATATACTAATCAAGCTACTTCAAGTGATGTTTGTGCAATTAAACAGTTGCTTTTATAGTGTGGATTACAGATTAGCCTATTGTAAAATTGTCCTATCTTGGGGTATTCCTGGATTCATTTGTCAAGACAAAGTCAGAGGTAGTAATAGTCATCTTTATCCCACATCTGGAACAGATCTTTAACCTATAGGGGATAACTTCTGTTGATACTCCATGGAAGCATGAAATATGTTTGCTTCACCATACAAAGTGATAAACCTAAATATTAAATCTGGCAGGCAGTTGCAAAAGCAACTTGTGGCATTTTAAAAACTGATCAGTTTGTCTGATAAGTACAGTGGTGCCTTGGCTCATGAACACCTTGGTTCACAACCAAATTGGGTCACAAACAAAAATTTCATGAAAATTTTGACTTGGATCACAAACTCCGCATTGGGTGGCAACCAAGATTGCAGCCATCTCCCCCCCCCCCCAAGTGGGGAGATGGCCATGTTCGCAGTTGCGTTCGTGCAGGGAAGACATAGAGGAGCTGACAACAGAAGAACTTGCTGAACTTCAGAGTAAGCAGCAGAAGGCACTTGCTGAGGAGGATTCCACTGAGGAAGAGGAAGACAGGGAGGAGGTTAGCAGGGATGTGATACAATCAATTATGAAAAAATGGAATGAGTGCCAAGATTTCTTTGAGAAGCACCACCCCAACATAACTAATGAACAGAGTGTTGAATCTGATGAACGATAACATGGTCTCTCATTTCCAGAGGGTTATGCAGCACAGAAAAAACAAGTGACTATAGACAGATTTTTCACCAAAATTGACCCTGTAGCTAAGAGACAAAGAAGAGAGGAAACCCCTGTAAGAGCTCTCCCCAGTGTCCTTATGGAGGGAGACTCTCCCTCAAAACAATAGCCTTCACCCCCACCTAGGTTAGTGTTCTCCACTGTACTGTACAGTACTTCGTTGTTTGTCACTTTGTTTCAAATTTTTGATTAAAAAATAGTTACAGAACAGATTGACCTTATTTACATTGAACAATATGGGGAAATTTGACTTGGGTCACAATCAGAGTAGTGGAACAGATTAAGTTTGTGAGCCAAGGTACCACTGTATATAAGTGCAGTTTGCATTGTTCCAGAAAACAAGAGAAGGAAAGCACTTGCACAAAAATTGCTAGGGTTTGGTGGTTTATCATTTTAAAATCTATACCATGTGGTCACCTCCAATGTGTACTCCCCCCCCCCAAAAAAAAAATCCATTAGATTAAACCAAGATGTTGGAAATTGGCTTATCATTACCATATTGTGAGGTAATCACTTTCTGCCTCCTCCCAGTTCTCTTCCCAGCCACCAAAAGAGGGCATATGAAGACAGGAAAAGTGGTGTTAAAGAGGTTCTCCTGCTGTAGGGAAAGAATGAGATGCTTTGGGTCTAGCAGAAATGCAAGTGATAGACTTCTGTGGGCACCATTCATTCTGAGTGCCTTGGGACATATGCTAATTGTTCAGGGTCAAGGTAGCAACTGCAGACATGAACTGATTCATTTTACACTGGTGCTTTTCCAAACTAAAGAGCAGTGCAGCCTAGTGAAGCAGCATTGTTTCTTGTTTGGGCTCAATACTTGTATCAGAAAAAGAATTTCTAGTTTCAAAAGCTTGCATCCAGTATGTTTTGCACTTAAAGTAAGGACTTGGTTTTGTGTCAGATCAAACTGCAGGAGTCTCCAGATGATATGCCAGCTGGTCAGACACCATACACAATTGTTCTCTTTGCTCACAATGATCTAGTGGATAAGGTTCAGCCAGGTGACAGAGTTAATGTTACAGGTAAGAAAAATATTTTATTACCAGTGTAATTTAAATAAGTGGAATAGTATTTTGCTTTGAGCTGGTTCAATATTAAGCTAAAAGAGAATGAGAGGTGGTACATTAGTAATTAGAGCACCTGCTTTTTTCTTAAGAAGCTCTTTTATACTTTTGTCAGTTGTAAATACAGGCTTAGTTTGTGTGGTTTTATATCCCCATTTAAAAACTAGTAGAAATATACAATACAAATCCAATATTATACAATTAATATTATCAGATTCTATTATTTGTGTTACACATGCTAGAAATTATACAGCAGATGTTATGAGTTAGTTGGCTTATGTTTCCACTGATTAAAAGAAAACATTTAATGCATTTTGAAAACTTGAGCTATGTATTGTAGTGCCAAAAACATTTTGAGATACTTCATAACATTACAGAGCCTAGAATAAACTCTTTTACATAAAAAATTAACCAAGCAAGTCAATACATCTATTGACTTCTTGTTACCTTGCTAAATTAACTATGTCACTGGTCAGTTAATCAGTAATTGCTGACTCCCAAGTCTAAAGCCATTTAGACAATGTCATATATGGGCAGCACATGTGCAATGTCTAATGTTGTTTGGTAGGTATAATATCACTTCATGTTTAACCAGGCATCTACAGAGCAGTCCCTGTTCGTGTCATTCCAAGAATGAGCACTGTAAGATCTGTCTACAAGACTCATGTTGATGTTATTCATTACTGCAAAACTGATTCAAAACGTTTGCATGGCATTGAAGATGGAGCAGAACAGAAAATGTTTACAGAGGAGCATGAGAAAATGCTTCGAGAGCTTTCTAGAAAACCTGATATTTATGATAGGCTTTCCTCAGCAGTTGCTCCAAGTATTTATGAACATGAAGATATTAAAAAGGTAAGCAACATTTTAAATTATGTATGACTACTGGAGTCAGATTACTATATGTGTTAAACTGATGAAGTACATCGAAATCTGTGCATAGTTATCTTGAAATATAAATGAAACCATTTTATATTAGAAAACATAACGTCCCAAGAGCTCAAGTGCTGTGTATTTTAACTATGAGCATCACTGCCTCTACTAAAATAATTTCTAAAAAAATGTAGTTACGAGGAAACAATCTTTATTCTCTACCACTGTGGTCTGCTTCACTTTTAGCAATGGCTAAATGAAAATGAATGGAAGCAGCTCATATTGGGAGTAAAGCAGATGAGCACCCTACTTCAGAAGTTTTCACCTGTAATTCACAACAGACTCAACCAGCAAAGCCAGTGGTGAGGGACAATGGGAGTTGCAAGCCAAAACATCTAGAGGGCCGTAAAATGTGCATATTCCTGTTACTCAGCAAGGTGGCCTCTTCTCTTTGTAAGCAGCAGAAAAGGGTTGTGAGCAATGCTTTAATTCATATTCACATCCTACTGTATTTTTGTATATGAAACTAACTAGGAAAGTTAAGCAGTCTGGGCTTTTGTATTGTAAGATGAATGGCAACCAATAGGATATTTTAGTACTAGTTAAAAATTCAGAAGGACCACAGACTGAGATGCAAGTTTTCATATTTGCTGGTTTGGTCAGATTTTTTGTATATTTGGGGCACCTCCTCTATAAGAGGTACCTGCAGCTTTGTGCCCTTTTCTGTGAAGCAATATCAGTTCTCTAGGAAAGATCCAAGTGGCTGCATCATTCAAACACAGGGCCAAGCCCTGTACCTACCCATGGAAAATCATGTTCTGCACAACAATGGGGGCATCCAGTTCATCTCTGAATTGGAAGACTTAAAATCATGCATGTACATTTATTCATGAAACATTGGCACTGAAATGCTCCATTTTGTAGGGCATTCTTCTTCAGCTCTTTGGAGGATCAAGGAAAGATTTCAGCCACACTGGCAGAGGTAATTTTCGTGCTGAGATCAACATTCTACTCTGTGGAGATCCTGGTACCAGCAAGTCACAGTTGCTTCAATATATCTATAACCTAATTCCAAGAGGCCAGTATACATCTGGGAAAGGCTCTAGTGCTGTTGGTCTTACAGCATATGTGATGAAGGATCCTGAAACAAGACAGTTAGTATTGCAGACTGGAGCCTTGGTCCTCAGTGATAATGGGATTTGCTGTATTGATGAGTTTGATAAAATGAATGAAAGTACAAGATCAGTGCTTCATGAAGTCATGGAACAACAAACATTGTCTATTGCTAAGGTAAAAACTTACTGAAAATTTTCTAGGTAATTTTCTTTCAGTCAGAATGTGACCTCATATCTGTATCACCTTCTAATTCTGATAAGTACCAGAGTGGTGAGATATTAGCAGGCATGGCAGAACCCTAAGGTTTACAGAAGTACAAAAATATCTGATAAATCTAAAAGAGGAAAAAGTCAAAACAACCCAGTGGCCACAGAATGATGACTTGTAGGGAAGAAAAAGAAGGGGGGGGGGGGGAGAATGAGTATGCCAGAAGAAGATACTGAAGCATTGCTTTTTTAAAAGGGGATTGAATCAGATGTAACAGTTTAGTATATGTAATTTTGTGCTGTAGCCTGAGTATAAAACTTTAAATTCTACTAGATCTATAAATGAATTTCAAATCTTCCTCACAGGCTGGAATTATTTGTCAACTAAATGCTCGTACCTCCATCCTGGCAGCTGCTAATCCAATAGAATCCCAGTGGAATCCAAAGAAAACTACTATTGAAAACATTCAACTTCCCCATACGTTGTTATCTAGGTATACTATGAAATATGTTGTTGCTGCCTGTTCCGTCTGTACAAAATATTTTGTATCTGGACAATTACTGTCTATTCATCACTTTTCAAGTAGTAGGATTTTGTACCTCAGATGGGAGAAAATCTTTAACTGTCCTCTGAATATACACTATTCTTTGAATACCATGGTGGGGGGGCATTTTTGCTTTGAATGTATATAGAGGGCAACTGGCAATTCCCGATTCTTTACTCATGGCAGACTGTCATGAGTAGGCTGTCAATTACTAATGATTTGAGTTATTTTCCTTGGTCCTGAGAATCACTGGTTCTGGACTATAAATTATGGGGCAGAGATATCAAATGAAACAAAAAGCATACTAGTTTATATCCTCCGCTTATATCAAGAACCTTACTTTCCAGATAATATGTTATAGTTTGAATGTAATGCTATTCATTTGTTTGACTTTACAACAGTGTTAAATTTTTAACACGCTTGATCAAACCATAAGACAGTAGTTTTACTGGTGGAAAACTTTTTCATAAAGTGGTGGTTTTCTCTGTAGGTTTGACCTTATTTTCCTTATGTTGGACCCACGAGATGAAGCATATGACAGACGTTTGGCACATCACTTGGTTGCACTATACTATCAAACTGAAGAGCAGGTTGAAGAAGAGTACATGGATATGGCAGTATTAAGAGATTATATTGCTTATGCTCGTAGTTACATCAATCCAAGACTGAGCGAAGAAGCAAGTCAAGCTCTTATTGAGGTAAAAGACCTAGGGGAAAGTAACCTTAAGACATGGACCTTCCTGTGTCCTCTATCAGTGTAAATGCCTGAACTCAGAGGCTTATGAGCAGCTGAACAGATCCTGAGCGGCAGTCAAAATAATCATTGCCTCCTGCTTTGCAAACAACCATATAGCTAAGGTGCTTTGGAGGGAGAGGAAAGCCTAGAATACTGCACAGTAGCTCATAGCATGGCAGTTCCAGTCTCCTCCCCTTCCTGCTCCCTTCACCCCCTCTACAAGGTTGATTTCCAGACCACAAGAGGGAGCATCATGGATAGTGCACAAGCGTGAATTGAAGATCTAGCAATCTTAGGTAGCCAAACTACTCTGCATTAGCACTATGGACTTCCTGGCTGATTGTACCAACACCACTAAATAATACACTCAATGAAAGATTAAGTGTTTGGTGGTTTTATTTATTGCTGTTACTATGAATACTTTGAAATCTTGAGGATGACACAGTAAAAGTCTCTGTTCAATATACCAAGTTCCTTCTTTCCTGTTTGTGTTCCAAACAGAGAACAGATGTAACTAATGACCCATAAAAAGCTGTGTTTGTAACAGAAGGGAAAGTTGCTCCTTGCTAACTAGGTTAGCACACTATGAGGCTGAGGAGCTGGTCATTGACCTCTTCCTACAGTACTGTAGTATTAATAAAAGTCTGTTTGGATTATAACTTTCTCTTAATTGGATTGGAGTTTAAGTTTTTCCTTCCATAATTCCTTCTTTCATAAACTGTTTTGGGACATTGGATCCTACACTGAATTAGATGCAGAGTTAGAGCAGAGTTACATTAACTTGCCAATGGCACAGGGCAGAAAGAATAAAGGGATTTGCCAATCCCTTGGGGATTAGGATTTGTCTAGAAACAGTATAGTCCAGCACGCACACAATGGTAACAAAATATTAACTCAAATAATTCCTGATTAAAATATCTAAATTGTCAAAATTAAAAACTGTTCATGTTTGTCAGAATTTAAAAGTGAGCCAGGTTAGACAACACTGAAGACATCTAGTAAATAGTATCTTTGCATGTTAACAAGGACTGTTAAATGAGTGTAACACAAGATGATCTATGTACACACCTTTTTCCATTTTTCTCCCTATTAGGCATATGTGGCTATGAGGAAGATTGGAAGTGGTAGAGGAATGGTTTCTGCATATCCTCGACAGTTGGAATCTTTGATTCGTCTAGCAGAAGCTCATGCTAAAGTGCGCTTTTCTGACAAGGTGGAAACAATAGATGTAGAAGAAGCAAAACGTCTTCATCGCGAAGCTCTAAAACAGTCTGCTACTGATCCAAGGACTGGAATTGTGGATATATCTATTCTCACAACAGGTCCTTGTCTAACAAATATAATAATCTTTATATTTGCCTTGAATGCAATTTTTAAATATAGTTGATATTGAAATCTGCAGAATTATAATCTGTAGCTTAGAGCTCTCTCAAATGGCTACTGTATTGGAAAAAGCATTTTGACTTTGTGAAATTTCATTTCAAGGAATGAGTGCTACTGCCCGTAAACGCAAAGAAGAACTGGCTCAAGCTTTGAAGAAACTGATTCAGTCTAAGGGCAAAACACCAGCTCTAAGATACCAGCAACTTTTTGATGATCTTCGTGCACAATCTGAAACGGTAAGTCAGTTCTATACACATGCTTATGCCTGTGCAATTCACAATCATCAACATTTCCAAGAATAGCCTTTTCCCCACCTTGAATTCAGAATATGGATTGCTTAAAATTATACCATAAGTTGCTCATTATCTTGTAACTTGGATTGTCATAATGAGGCACTGTGGAAAAAGTGTGATAATGTAAGCTTAGCATTAAACAATGTGAAAAGTATTTTAGCAATGGCTCCATAATTATTATATCTTGTCAAGTCCAAGCAGGGGAAATTCAGTAGTGCAAAGGAATCTCCACATTTTGTCACTAGTTAGAATCTCACTAAAAAAACCAAAGGATACTCAAACACTGTTAGAAAACTCTTTTAACAGAATGACAGTGAAACTTCCTGTTCATAGCTTTTGTTGTTGTTGTTGAAATACAAATTCAAGGTCTATAAAAGGGAATTGATAAGATGGAACATTTGTTGCAGTTCAGATTTGTTGTCAAAATGTTTGTGTAAATCTTCCTATTTTTTCTTTCAGGCTATTACTAAAGAAATGTTTGAAGAAGCGCTTCATGCACTAGCTGATGACGACTTCTTGACTGTGACTGGGAAGACTGTTAGATTACTCTAAATGAACCCCTATTTTTTACAATAAGCTCATTATAAGGATTCCTGATATAACTTGCTTTTGTAGAAAATGCTTATGTAATTTAAAAAAAAGTTTTCTATTTGAAAGCCAGAGGGCCATAAATGCCACCACTGAAAATCAGTGTCTAATTTTTCGCATTTAAAGACCATCTTTTAGGCACAACAGACTATAATGTTATGCACACATTTTTCTTTCAACATGTTTTTATTCTTTTAAAACCTCAATATGGATTGTAATATCAAACTACTATTATGGAATTTGCATTCCTATTTGGTTGTAGCAGTGCTTACACATACTAGATATGGCCTGTGAAGAATGTGTTTGCAACAAAATATAATTGGTAAACTGGATTTGATCGTGCATTTCAAAAATGGAATAAGATGTATTGGTTAGACTGAACAATGTCAATTGATACTTTGTATAAAGAAAGCAAACTGAGTTTTAGATAATGTTAAACTATACTACATAAACCATGGTTTAAAGTTGTTTATCCATGCTCATATTTCATCTGTTCAGCATCTACCTCTTGAGGTAGACCAGTGGCTGGTATCTTGAGTCCCTCATAAGCCATAGTTCAAACATACTTGGCAAACCTTAGTTAGACTGCACAAGGTTTGTGCAATTAAAGACAAAATAATCACACAGAACCTCAATAAATGATAGACATTGTGGTATAAACTTTTGATTTGTTTATGCCAAGACTGGGTTCATTGCTACACAACTGAAAGTAAGCTTTATGTTATGTCCTGGAATAATTAATAGATTGCACTGCTTATCATACTTGTCATCCTAATTCCTCAGCAGAATAACAAAGCTATCATTGTACAAAGTAAAATCACTGTGTCAGTAGTCCTTTTGTTTGCTGTCATTATTTCCACGAGGAGATGGAGGCAGCCTTAACATTTGACTCAAGTAAACTGTTCACCTCCTGGGCTTTTCAGGGAAGCAATTACAGCAGTAGTTATCAATAATAAGCATTTGCTTGTTTTTAAAGAAGGAATGCTAGGTAAATGATATGTAAAAGGCAAATAAAGATCTGTTAATTGTATTAGTAAAACTTTTATGACTACCACATTTCCATGTTTTTGTCATTTCTCTATGTAAAACAGTAAAAAGATCCAACTTACACTGAGCACTCCTCCATTTTAAAGAACTTACTTTTCTTAGACGCTAAAAAGATACGGCTTGCATTCTTGATACACACTTGTTCTTTTAAAATACATTGGTCAGCAGCAACTGACCAAGGAAGAGATCTTGAGGTTGTGGTGGACAGCTCCATGAAAATATCAACCCAGTGTGCAGCTGCTGTGAAAAAAGCAAACTCCATATTAGGCATCATTAGGAAAGGAATTGAAAATACATATCTATGGTACAAGTGCATTTCAAATGCTATGTATAGTTTTGGTCACTGTACCTAAAAAAGGATATTGTAGAGTTGGAAAATATGAAGAGCAATTGAAGTGAACAAGGGCCTGGAGCAACCCTATGAGGAAATGTTACAATGCCAGATCGTTTTAGCTTAGAAAAAAGACAAGGGGAAATATGATAGAAGTGTATAGAGATGCACATGTTGCAGTGAAACAGATGGAGAGAAATTTTTCTCCCATAATACTAGAAGCTAGGGCCATCCCATAAAGCTGATTGGTGGAAGATTCAGGACACCAAAAAGGAAGCATTTCACACAGCTCACAGTTAAATCATGGAATTAACTTTCACAAAATGTAGTGGACACCAATTTGGACAGTTTTAAAAGGATTTCTGGAATGCTGCTAGTCCTGATGGATGTCTGCTGCCTCCAGACCATAGGCAGTATGCCAAGGTATGTCAATTGTTAGAAAGTTAAGTGGGACTTTCAAGATGGTGTCGGAACGAGACGGCTGTGATTAACAGAGCTTCTGTTATCACGCCAGTATTGCTCGGCAGTGAGTCGTGGGAGGCTCATCTAAGCTCTGTTGGAGCGAAGACAGATTGCCTGGTCATTCTTCTGGTCAGTGTGGAAAGGCAATCCCATATCCACTGGGAGAAATTCAGGCATTTCTCAACCGGGCAACACAGGGTTTTTTTAGCCCCTACAAGTTCTCGACATCTTATGGAATTAGCTTAGGATTTTTATTAGCTAGATCAGCATAGGAACTGCTGGGTAAATATTTTTATTTTTTATTTCTTTTCGCAATACTACCCATGGAAAAGCTGCATCTGCTTCTAATTGGCATAAAGAAAAAAGCCCTCCTGATATATAAGCGGCAACTGATATGGAGAGTGTTGAGGCTTTTGTTCAAGTTGAAGCCGAAGAAAAAGATTTTTTCCTCAAATCTCTCTAAGGGCAAAGAAATAATTACTGTGGAATTAAGTGATAGAAGGTTAAAACTTAGAGTGATCATTTCAGATATGTTTGGACTTCTGCCAAGACTAACTGGACACTCGCCAGGATATTTTTCATATTGTGTTGTGTTTCTTCTCTAATGTGATGACTTTGGGTGAGCATTCCTATTTTCCTTTTGCAATACTACTTGTGGAAAAACTGTTGTTAATTGGTATAAAAAAGGGAAAAAAGACCCTTTGATGGAAGGAGGAACTCTCCCCCTCATGGTGTTTTAAGCAGTAAATGATGTGGGGAGAGGATTTAAAGTTTATACGGAAGAGAGTTTGCAGTGCATGCGAAAGTTGGGACTAAGAAAAGAATGACTTTGTTTCTTTTCTGATCTCCCCAAGAGTGAAGAATTAAAATAATAACTATTGTGGAATTAAGTGATAGAAGGATATAATTTGCCTGTGGAGCAGCCATTTTCTCCTCTCCATTTCTGGGACCCCTGCCAAAGTATTTGGCAATTTGCCAACATTTGTCTGCAAGTGATCTAGAGGGAAAAGAAGTGGTAGTTGGCCTTTGCTGCCATCCTGTGGCTATTGGAATTATTACAACGATGGAAGAGCTAAAGAGAACACTCCTGGCAATACAGGAATCTTTAACAGCTTTACAAATATCCCAAGAGGCGATGTTGATAAAACAGGAAATTTTTTCAATTGAACAAAAAGAGCACTTTGATAAACTTGATGCTCCTTTTAAGGAGGTTTTGGTTGGTGTGCAATCTAAAACTGAACAGAATATTCAAAAAACACAAGTATATGAAAAACTTGAAACAAAGAAACAAAATCTGCAAAACCAATAAATAAGCTATCATGGGATTTACTTGTTATTTTAGAGAAAGAGAAACAATTTTGGCCATCAAAAGAAGGAATATTTTTTTCTGAAGGATGGATGGATCCTGAACTAACGACACATGACTCTGAGGAAGAAGAGACAGTGAATGTTGATTTGCAGCAAGAAACACAGCCATTGGGAATAAATACTGACCTATAACAAATGCTACATTTATTGAAAATAAAGCAAGAAATAGTGAATATTGAAATACAGACATTGAAGAGTGTTGATTTTCAACAAGTACCATTAACCGGAGAAAGATGGGGCAGAGGTGTAAAAAAGAAATGAGAGAATTTGTTATCTTAAAAAGGAATGATATAAATGTGTTGGCATGTTTATTGTGGTATAGAAAGGCTAAGTTATATGATTTCAATGTGAAAGCTTCTCCACATTTAAATGAGTTGAATTATGAAGAGATTATAAGATACGATCTAAACTTAACTAAGAAAGATAAGAATAGGAGTTGAGTTTTTTCTTGGTTGGTGACATATGGAAAAATAAAGAGTTTTTTTTTCTTTTTTAATCTTAAAAATGAACGATCAAAAGCTAAGTTACATGACTCCTTTGTCCTTGAGTTACTATACTAGCAAATGATTATTATTGGTGTAGGAGAAGCTGTAATAAGTGGATTCTTTTTTATAAGTGAGATATATTAAAGAGTGTAAGGAGCTGGACTCTTGTAAGGAGTTAATTGTATGTGACTAAGTGATGTGTAAGCTAGATGAAACTTTAGTAAATTAGCTCAAAGAAAATTTGTTTAAAAGATATTATAGGTAAGTGTTGTCATCAAACAGATTAGCTAAGATGTCTTTAAAGATGATAAATGGATGTTAGATATGTGAACATAACCTGGGTTAAAAGTCTTTACCTCTTTTTTAACTTGGAACTTTTCTTCTTTTTCCTTTTTCCTTTTTAGTAGATAATGGATTGGAATACTAGTAAACAAGAAATGTATTTGATTTTATTTGTAACTAGTGAGGAGTCTATTTGTCTAGCATTAAAAAAATGAAAAGATCTTGAATTGTGTGGAGATGGTCAGATTGAAGTTACTACTGAAGAAGAAAGAAGATATTGACTTTCTTCAAATTTGGAGATTCTTTCTTTTAATATTGGTCAAGAAAAATGGGACTTTGTAAGAAATGGATGGACTGATCTTATCGCTGAAGGAGAAAAAAGACAGTGACTTCTATCAAATATGGGACCTCTCTTTTTTTATTGACTGGAGAAACGGAACTTGGTTTAGATCTAAAAATGTTTTTAAGCTATCGTAAATGGATCTGAATATGATTACAGAATGTTAAAAGATATGTAGTAAGGGGCTGACCCAGTGGTTCCGATGTATGTGATGACTGATGTTTTTAGTATTGGTTTAAAATTTTAATAAAAAAATTCTTATGGCTTCTCTTATGTTTGTTTCATAGATGGAGCTTGATTTCAGTTTCAATTATGTTTATTACAGCTTATCACTAACATTTACAAATAAAAATATATGGATTTTCTTTTTTTAAAATCTTATAGTCATGCTACCAGGTAAAATAGACTCCTCAAGCATCTCATCCTTTTCAAGGTAGATGCTGGAATAAAACCAGGCAGAAGAGCACATTGTTTTGGCCATACGTCAGATGGTGACCATGGTCAGGGTACAAGATGTGATGTATCCTCCCAAAATCAGCACCCATCTTAGAGTAAGATGAATTCTTCATTCCAGATATTGGTCATGCAGTTTCCTATTTCCAGATATCACTCTCTCAGAGAAGATCTGTCCTTTGTTTCTTTATCATAAAAATACCAGAATAACTTCAATACAAGGCTTCAATCCAAACACCTGATACTTAAAAGTCATCTTAAGTCAAGGTTTCTAACCAAAACAATAACATCATCAGTCCTAATGATAGTCAGTCCAGCAGTCTAACCACACCACACCAGCTCTGTATGTACTCTTTGGAGACTATAAAATATGTTTAGGGGATGATCTTGATAGCCCTTATTCAACTCCCATAAGAACAACAGTGTAAGGACTATTCTGTTGCTCACATTTACTGAAATAAGCCACATTTTATTTATTGCTTATTTTTTTCTCTTACTTTTTGTACCTTCCCTCCCTTGTAAAAAGCATTTTAAAAAATGGTGGGGGACCTTCTGCCATCTTCCCTTGCACAGAATAGGATGAAGTGTCTTGAACATTTAACTTCTATGGATACCTACACTGAATAAAGGTAAATGCTGCAACTTATTCTGAATGAACTTCAGTGCAAGTGCAAAGCAGCATTTCTGCTTGCTTGTACCTTTGCAAAATATGAGGAACTGGTCTGTTTAATTACTAAAAATTATAAAGAAGGCATTAAAGATCCAGTGTTGTATCACATTTAGGTAACAGTGGGGCGACATTCACTGTTCAAGAATTCTGAATTTGACAGCAAAACAAAACTTTCTTTATCCCCAGGCATTTTAAATTACTGGGCTTTAATTTTTTTATTTCATCTGTTTGCTGGCTGAATTGTATTTATACTTATCTTGTAAATTTTTTGTTATTATTTTCCATAGTGTTATGTACACTGCTCTGGCATCCTTTGTGGACAAAGAACACTTTCTAAATTTTAAATATTATTATTACTAATGATGTGGTATTAGCACAAGTGAACATACAGACAATAATTTCAGAATCTATCAGACACTAAAGAAATACTCCCTTTCTCATACATCATTACTAGAATTTGTAGATCACTTAGACTTAGATTCAGCTGTTTTCCAAAAGCAGAAGGGAAACTACTGATATTTCTATCCCTCTGTAGCATCCCCCTGTCTACTGCCCAAATCTGCACTGAAGGGCTATAGGATCCTCTGGAAGAGATTCTGGGGAGACATGAATGGGCCG